TCTTTATTTTTGTACTACTTAAGAAAATTTTAACCCATCTAAGTAAACTTTATTATATATATAAGTATATTTTTTTAAAATAATATAATATATCAAAATTTTACTATAATAGATAAAGAATTTTATTTATAATATTATAAAATTTTTTTGTTAATTAAAAAATAAAAAGTTTTATTAATAGCATATATTAATTTTAAATAAAAATTTTAATATACTATACATAGCTATATAAAAATAGTTTACATGTTTTTTATTTTTAAAATAATAAAGTTTAAACAAATATTTTAATATTTAAAAAAAATTATTATATAAATAAAGTTTTATAAATTATTAAAATTTTAAGAAAGAGGTGTGACAACCTAGTAAAGTAGATAGGTTGTCAACCCTCAAGTGGCAGGTCTAAGGTTCAATTCCCATAGATAACAAATTTTGGAAATTATACATATGTTACAGTAACTATCTCTTGCCAATCAGTTAGGTTTTGGGCAGCTGTAATTTTAGGTATACCAAGTTGGGTCTCATCTGACATTAGGAGCTTAGGGCATCTATATAAAGTGTAACATTACATAGTATATGTACATAGAGGAATGTAAAAAACTGGTGTCATATAAAGCTTCGGTGCAAATCTACAATAAGACCACTAGGCATAGAATGCTAAGAAACTGAAGAGACAGAAACTCCCTTGGAAATCCCAAATAAAGAGATAACACAAACTTTTGATGATGCCATTGGACTAATAGAAGCCCATAAAACACCTTTATAGGAACTGTCGAATAAACCAGATGACAAAGATGTATTGAGAAGCACATGACCAACTAGGCTGCTGGAATCACTGTAGGAAAAGGATACATAAGTATACCATACTGGGCCATCTGGATTGAAAGTCTGGAGAGTCAGTTAGTTCTGAGTTGTGACTAGTAGAAGATGATAAAAAAGAAATTAAAAAAATAAATACCAGAATTTGGGTAAACTTTACAAGAGTAATAGCAGTTTAAGGGGTAATCCTGATTGCAAGTGTTGATCTTGGCCATAGTGTTAAACCAGGTTAGAGGTAAAAGAGAATATGGCTCACTCTGATAGGTTTACCTCAAGAATAAAAATAGTCTAAGGATTATAGTCTTATAGTTAAATGTGAATAGATCTGGGTCTGTGACCTGGTGAAATTAATACTAGGATTAGATCAGAAGGTTTAAATGAAACATCTAAGCAGGGATGTTAAGTATGGCAACTGGTAAGGAACTCTTGGACAGACTCCTTAAATAGATAATATAGAAAAGTTACACATATAGCCAGTTGTACACTCGTCTAATAGTTTATTATAGATATGTCTATATAAAACATGTACTTGCTATAAGTATTAATAAAAAGCTTAGACCAAAGAGGTCACCTTAATATTGAAAAAAAAATAAAAATAAAATTTTAAGAAATAGGAGTGTGATAACCTAGTAAAGTGGACAGATTGTCAACTCCCAAGTGACAGATCTAGTATTCAAATTCTATAAATAGTGAAATTTGAATAATTATACTTGTGTTATGATAATTGTGTCTTATCAATCAGTTGGACAAAAGAAAATAATCTGTAATCTTAAGCACATCATCTTAAATAGGAGCTTAGGGCATCTATATGAAATGTAATGTTACATATATATAAAGAAATATTAATAACTAGTGTTATATAAGACTTTGGTGCAAAGCTATGATAAAACCACTAGGTGCATAACTCTAAAAAACTAAAGTACAGAAATCCACTTAGAAATCTTAAGTAAAAAGATAGTATAGACTTTCAATAGTACTATCAGACTATTGGAAGTTTCAAAAGGAATAACTAAAATAAAATAAATAACGATATGTGTAGAAGAGCACATACCAACCAGGCTGCCAAAAATTACTAAAGAAAAAGGATCTTAGAATACTATACTAGGCTATCTGGATTGGTAGTTTAGGAAATCTTATAGGTTCAGAATAAGAGAAAGATATTAGAAAAGGAAGGTATTAGAGTCCTAATGAACTTTACAAAGATATAGCAGTTTAATGGTTAGCCCTGACTGCAAGTGATGATCTAGGCCAAAGTGGTATTGAGTTAGCTGTAAGTATGGAATACAGAAGGCTTCGGTAAGCTTAGTATAAAGTTAAATATAACTTAGTGATCATAGTATATTTGCAGTAACCTTGCAATTGATAAAGTAGAAGTAAATACAAGAATTAGAGTATTTAAATAAAGAACTTACAGGTGGATTCTAGGTATGGCAACTAGTATAAAACCTTTAAGCAAACTACTTAAAATAAACAATAACTAAAGTTGTACAAGTGGCTAGTTGTACACTCTTTCTATAATTGCCTCTATAGCTGTTGTACACAATAGTTATATGCTGACTGATTATCAATAAACTCCTGGATCGCAATTACTTGTCTTAACATTAAAAAAAAAAATTTCAAGAAATTTTAATATTTAAAATATATATAAATTACTTGTCATATAATTTTAATTATAAATTTTTTTATTTTGAGATTTAAAAATATTTTTACTAACTTAACTGCTTTTAAACTTTTAAATAAAGTTGTAAAACAAATTTTTATAATTCTAATAATAGTAGAATTATTAAATTTAAATTAAAATTTGTTAAGATAGATTTATTTAAAAATTAGATATTATAAATTTATTATATGAATCATATGATAATTATATAATAATCAATCAATCAAAATGTTATTATAATATAAGAGTAAGTCAATAAAAATCAAACAAATTATTTTTATTAAAATTTTTTTAAAACTTTAAATAACAATCACTCAACAAAAACTTAATTAAATATAATAAATTTTTTTAAAAATAAATTCTAAAAACTTGTAATATTTATTTTAAAAAAATTTTATTAAATTTAATAAAATTTTGATTAGATTATCTTTGTTTAAAGTTTCAAAAAAATTTATTTAGAAAAAATTTGTTTGATTTCTATTAACTCAACCTTATACATACAAGTATAATTTTTTTAAAATAATATATATTATAAAATTTTATTATAATAAATAAATTATTTTAATTTATATAACCAAAAAATTTAATAAAAATTTGGTATATTTTTAAAAAATTTTATTAGTATCATATTTTTGTTTGTTATATAAATCTAAATTTATTAGCAAATTATATGACAAATGATCTACATGTACTCTATTCTTAAAAAATATTTTTTTTGATTTACAAAATTTATAAGATTTACAAGCACAAATCAATTGTAAAATGCTTTTTAGTTTCTTAAACTTATTTTAAGATAAAAATTTTATATTCAAATATCAAAGTAGTTTAAAAATCAAAAATCAACTAAGGGTATAATAACCTAGTGAAGTAATCAGGTTATCAACTTCTTAAGTAATAGGTTGGATGTTTAAATCCTATCAACAACAAAAATTTAGACAATCACCTATATAATATTCATATTACAGCAACTGTTACTAATAATTAGATTAGAATACCTGTAATAGTAGTTATATCAGTATAACTGACAGGTTATAAGGCATCTGTACAATGTTAAAGTTATACAGAGAAATGCAAACCAACAACTAAGTAGTACAAACATTAGATAAGTCTTTGTAATTATATAAATCTATTAAAATTAGATAATAAAAACTTTATTTAGAAAGACCTGAATAGAGAAATAGCTGGATCTTTGATAGCACTACTATAAAGACTAGTCTGGAGAAATGAATATTTAGATCTTAGTAACCAGATAGGCAAGAAACTCCAAGTTGAAAGTTTCAGAAATATTACCAACCAGATCACCAAAACAAATTAGAAAAAAAGAATATTAGACTGATCTAATATACTAATAGACTGGTTATAGTTCTATATAGACTATCTGAATTGAAAGTTTGATGAAATTCAGAAATATATTAAAATATTAAGGTTATGCTATGAAGTAGATACTAAGGCCTGAGTGAACTCTACAAGAGCATAATGGTTTAATGGTTAAGTTCTAATTACAAGTATTGGTTCTGTTATAGTAATATCTAAGTTAATTGTAAAAATAGATACAGAAGACTCTGAAGGGTTTACCTTAAGGATAAATTAATCCTAAAGTTGAAAAGATGATCTGAACATCTGAGTATAATCTAGTAAGTTAACATAGGTTATAGATTCTGAAGGTTTAAAGTAAAACACCCAAACAAGAATGTTAGATACAGCAATTGGTAAAAAACATTTAGGTGAACTCCTTAAATAAGTAATATAAAAAAGTTACACATATAACCAATTGTATGCTCTTCTGTAGTGGTTCATTGAATCACAATGCCAATAAGTGATTAATAAAAGTCAAAAGACCAAAGAGATCACTTTAATACCAAAAAAAAAAGAAATTAACTAACAATTAAACAATTTCTTAGTAATTTTTTTTATAACCTGCAAATTTCACACAATTATATAAACCACAAACTGATAATTATCACTATTAGTAATAATCACTAACTTGTAATACTAATTATTTCTGCAAAATAATGATTAAGCAACTTTATTTTTATAAAAAATACAATTTTTACAAAATAATAAATGCGCAAATTTTGTCTAATCTAAAAGTCAAAAATATTAAAAAAATTAAAAATCAATAATTAGAAAACAATGATTACTTTTTTTTTAATAATCAAATTTTATATTATTTTGCAAGTCGTAATAATTAACTAACGATTATTAACAGTAAATTTCAGGTTTTCACTTTGTGGCAGCTTATATATATTTGTGTTCAAAGTCATTATTGGCATGTTTAAATATGAACAAACTTTAATAATAATAAATTTATATAAGAAAATTTATATTCTTTAATCTCAAATTTATTTTTTTATCAAATGTTCAAAATGTTCAAACTTATGTCCTATAACGCCACTTTGCAGCACTCATATAATGCTAATTATAAATCTAAATAATATAAAATTCAATGTTATTACTTCGAAAAAAACAAATTTATATAAAACAGATGCTAAGAAAATGATCTAAAGAACAATACAACTTCCTCTTATTTCTTAACACCCATCCCATATATAAAAAGAAACATTCTAAACACATCAACTTTTTGAGTACCTTCTGCAGTTTTTGATCTTTTGGTATTCACATTTTTTGATAACTTTTTAGTAATTGACTTTATACCTTTCTTTCTAGTAGTTGACTTCTTTACAACCTTAACATCAATGTCTTGATCACTCACCTCGCTATAACTATCTGGATCTAAATATTTTCTTTTAGACTTTGGGGTTGACGCTGATCCACTTTTCGAAGTTGAACTTTCGAGACTAGAAGTATTATTTGGCTGATTCCAATTATCAACAACACGTTGAATTCTTGCACTTTTGTGCTTTCTGTTGCTGTTAGAAAGATCAAAGAAATCATCCAAAGAAGTTTGTGTATTTATCTTTTTTGCATTTTCATCCTTTTCGTTCTAATAATTCATTAAATCTTAGCTATTTCTAAATAATAAAAGAATAAATTACTAATATAAACGTGCCTGCCCCTTTATCATAGTCCGCACAAGCGGTACAAGAGTTTCGTTAACTTTAGTTTCAGACCATGATAGATTTTCTTTCAAATAGCTAAAAATAACATATATTGCCATTAGAACGATTCAAAATTAACATAACTTTTTTCACCAACCTTCGTAAGTCATCCAAATCAGGAAAACCCCATTCAAATTGGACTTTTGAATCGTCTACTTGCGGATTCATATATGCATTCCGGATATGACGACTTGGAAAGTCTGACGGTAAAAAAAGCGTTCTCATTTTTCGTCGCTAGTATAATCCAATAAATAATTTTATTCAATGAGATCAACACGCCCTTTTTTATTTAAATAATAATAATGATTTAATTATTGAATGTGAACACACAAACTTCTTTTTAAAGTCGCTTTCATCTTTATCCGGAACATATTTCCCGCTTTGCACATTTAACCACCAAGATTTAAACTGTTCTAGACCATCGTCACTAGGGAATTCATTCAAAAGTTCCATGGCGCTAACAATTCCAACACCAGGTAGACCCTCAGTGTAATCACTTCCCAAGAGAATTGCAAGTCGTATTAATTTTTCACGATCTAATTTTAACATTTGCTCAAAATCTTGTGCGAGGTAACACTCGACATATTTTTGCTGATTAAACATATTTTTATATACTTCTGTGCCTCCGAATAAAAATACATCACTATCATCTGTAATAATGCCATCAACTAATTTAAGTCGCAATAATTCAGCACACTGTGCCTCAGCTTCCATTGGTGCGATAACATATGGAATGCCAAACAATTTTAAAAGTTTCTATGGAAATTTTCAACAATACGTTAATACATATATGTATATGGCCCAAATACAAAAATGCATATGGGTTGTTTGCTAGGAAAACCACTGATTAAAAGGTAATTTTAGTTTTGAGAAAAATGGGATTAAATTTTAGTACCATAAAATTTAATCACATTTCTCAAAACTATAACTACCCTTAATCTAGAAAACGACCCAATATTCATACTTGGCAATCATTTATCATTGATTGAGTCACAGTATCAACTTCGCGTTTATCTTTCCTTTGCTGTTCATTTAATTGTTGGATTTCATTAGTCAATTCTTTCTGTATTGAACCTAAGTCCTTATTTTGTAATTCGGATAAAAACCTAGCAAATTCGGAGGTTTCCTTTGTTAATTGTTCAGGTATATCCTCGTCTGAATTATCATGTTCTTCACGTGATCCGAACGCATCTTCATCAGACGACGATATTTCATTATCACTTTTGGCTGAAACATCTGTTTGGTTGTCAGGCTCAGATGTCAAATCGATTACGTTGTTTTTAGATCCATTGCGTTGATGTATTAAGGAAATATTGTTAGCAGATGTTAAATCTTTTATATCCATTTCTGAACAATCCTCGTTACATTGTGAATGATGTAATTCGGCAGTTCCAAAATTTAAATTCTGAAATGTTAAATCACTTTTTTCCATACCGACTTCTTCAGATATTGACATAATCTTATCATCATTATATGACAAATCTGCCTGAATTAAATCATCTGTTTTTAAAAGTAAATGGTTTTGATCGGTTTTAATCAGGTGATCATCATTGTCTAATATTTCCTTCTCTGAAGCTTTTATTGTATTAATGTCATTATGCAATTCGTACTCAAAATCATCCAATTTAATTTTTCCGTCGTCAATAATACAATGTGATGATCCTTGAATGGACGATTTAGAACCTGTGTTAGCTTGCTTATCATTCATCAAATCAGTTACAAGCAAATCTTCATTCGGAATTATAGGTTTGATTTCTCTAATTATTATTTGGCGAGGTGTTTTTTTAAGTTTCTTTGATACTTTATTAGACAACCTTCTTCTAAAATTAATGGCCAACGAAGTATCATAGGCCACTGGCAAATTAAAGGATTCGAAATTCATCTGTACTAATTTATTTGTCTTAATCATGTATGGGTTCGTGTCTTTCAAATGTTCAGTAGGATTCAAAATCTCGTGCATTAATCGCTTACCGTTAAACTTATTAAGGTCAGGATTCTCATTAATCACAATGTTTGACGGTTTCGTTGATGAGACGGAATCTATATATAAATTAGCTTCTTTATTAATATTTTCTGACGAAGAACTGTCTGCTTTATCTTTTCGAAAGGAAGGTGAATGTGTTCTACGAAATTGGATCGTAGCATTTAAAAATTCAAGCCAAAAATTCAAAGCCACATCCTTTTCATCATCGCCCTCCTTTAATTTTCCTAACCGTTTAATAGCCAAAGCCTTTTGTTCTTCAAGATCACTATCATCCCATTCATATATTGCTTTATGGATTCTTTCATCATGATCATGGTACTCTCTTTGAAAGGCCGGTGAAATTCGTGACAACCAAATAGCATATAATGAGTCTAAAGAATCTGGTTCATAAGATTTAGAAAAACCTTGATCGTCACTTAGGTTATCAACCAAACTAATCTCTCTGTTAGACAGTTTATTAAAGGTTTGTAAATTTTGTGATTCAAGTATATTAAATTTTTTCATAACGGATTCAATAGGTTCATCGTCATCAACATAAGCATTTGAATTTAATAACAAGTCATCAGATTCATTTTCTATAAAAAAAAGAAAAAATTAGATAATCGATATTAACTATGCTTAATTTTTTCATTTTAAATCACCTAGTTCCATTCCATTTTGAAGCCCATCATGTCCAGTAGTGTCACTTGCTGCACCTGAACTACCAGAAAAATTGAAAATAAATAATAAAATATTGCTATATTGCAAAATAAAATCCAAACTTACTAAGCGAAATCAACTTCCTCCCATTCATTTTCGGAGCCTGATATTGATTTTTCATCAGATTCAGAACTCTCATCTAAATTCACTGGCTCATCAATTGTGCCCGATCCTTTCCCGGTTGAATTGTTCGACTTTATGGCACTATTAGTTACCATTGTATACCCCGCGAGACCATCCTCGTTCTTAATTAATATGTATTCTCTGTTACGCTCTGATGCAATTCGTTGTGGGATAGTGTTATTTATATTATTAACATTATTAGTGACACTAAGCATCTTTTGAGTTAAGTCGTTTCTTTTAACTAGATTTTGTATTTGAAGCTTTGAAAAATCCATAGCGGTGTATATAAGGACCATTAAGGATAATAAAATAAAAAGTGGAATTAAATAATAAAAAAATTTTAATTCTCATATTTAGGATATGGGAGCGTTGTTGACTAATTCTTGGAATCTGTCTACTGAAGTTAACCGACTTTTTAGTCTAAGCTCACTAATTATTTCATATTGAGTTTCAAGCGGAAGAGATTTAAAATATTCAGAATCGATATTGACATCTTCTGGCTATAATAAGATAAAATTCTTGAACTATTCTCACGTAGACAAATGATAGATCATTAAGTGATTAAAAGTTACCTTGTATTTTTTTATATAATTACGAAGATCTTCCTTAGTTGCCATTCTTGGATCATCTTCCTTAATCATGGATCTTAAATGGTAATTCGACATTCAGTAATAATTTTTAAGGCAAATATGCATTTTAGCTTTAAATACATACTCAATTCCCCCTTCAATAGGCGGCAAATCATATTCGTCTTTTTTTCTCCTTTGATGTAATTGCGCAGAACTCAACTTTAATTCATCATAATAAACGACATCATCGTCTATTATGTTTTCTTGCGAGTCATTTCGATTCTTATCTGATCTATTAACATATAAAGTCAGGAACGATTTCGAATATACAAAAGCGATAAGTATGAAAAAGTATCTATACTTTGATTCTTTAATATTTTTAATAGTACATATTTGAATCTGAGTAGCTAGAATTTTTCCAGCAATTTTTTGCAACTCATTAGTCTTTCCATTACGCCTTTTTCGACGTTCTGCCTAAATCATTTAAAGAAAATAATTTGTAAATAATTCGATCAACATGATGAATAGAAGGATAACAAACCAAGGTATGTCGCTTCAACTCTGGAGCACCTCCATCAAATACAAATACTGGCTTAATATTGAAAAAAAGAAGCTTGCATATCCTTCGGAAAAAGCCTAATATATGTGCATTTTTTAAGGCGTTTCCTTCCTCGTCACGTATGGCTTTTAAAAATTGATATAGCCAAATGCTAGCATGTGTTAGTTACAAAATACATTAAAGAATATATTATTAAATAGTAAAGATATGTTTAGGGAATTATAAATATAAAGGATATCAATAGCAAGTCTTTTTTGGCTTAGAGATTCAAGTTGTACGGGTCTTGCTACGGGCTCTAATAAACTCCATAAATTTTTTACACCCATACTGTCTTAATACCTTATAATAAAATATCTTTGCAGTAGGGTAAAAATGTATTACACTTGGTAAGGTGTAAACGAACACGCTCATAGAAATAGGGTTGTAACTTACATTGTAAGTTTACATCGTTACATGACCTCGTGTAAGTTACGAATATGATGCTAAAGCAGGCCAGCTTTAAAATGAATATTGGCCCGCAAGTAGTTCACCTGTTCGAATTGCACATCAATTTTTTAAATTGACCAATAAAATTGCTTTTTATAAAAAGAATAAATATAAACAGTCCTAAAGGAGGATGTCTAAAGCGGAGATAACTTATAAGTATGGGGACTACGCCAGGGCGTAGGATCGATTTTACTGTCACGTGATTTCCGATCTGATGATTGATCTACTACATCGCACATGCATTTTGTACTACAAATTTTAAAAATAGCGATGGCAAGTTTGTCATCAAGAATAATGAACAAATGCATTTTGTACTACAAAATTTTAAAAATAGCAATGTCAAGTTTTCATCAAGAATAATAAACAAAATGCATTTTGTATTACAAATTTTATCATTAAACAAAAATAGCAATAGCAAGTTTTTTGTCAAGAATAATGAACTTTGAAATATTATCATGAACTGAATATTTTCCATTAAAAATTTTTTAGTGTTCTATTTAATAAACTTTGTAACAGAAAGATTTTAATTTTTTTCAGATTTAAAAAACTATATATATATTTTTTTGTGATTTTAGCAAGTTTTACTAAAGTTTTTATGAAGATATGAAGTAAATTTAGTTAAATATTTTTTTTTTAATACAAAATATTTGTTTTTATTTAATATAGAAGGTATTCAAAATACAATAATGATCTTTTATTATATTAGATATTGTTATTACTTAAGAATAAGATCCAAGATTTGGAGTCACTTCATGTTGTACATTATTTTTTATAGTTTTTTGTTTTTTTTATATTTAAGAAAATAGTAAAAACAGGGGTGTGGCGACTTAGTAAAGTAGTCAGGTTGTCAACCTCTCAAGTAGTAGGTTGGGTGTTCAAATCCCATCAAAGGTAAAAATTTAGATAATCACCTATGTAATATTTGTATTATGGCAACTGTTACTAATAATTGGATTAGAATACCTGTAATGGTGATCGCACCAGTATGACTGGCAGATCATGGAGCATCTGTGCAATGTTGGAGTTATACAGAGAAATGCAAATCAACATATTAAACAGTGCAAACACTAGATAAGTCCTTGTGGCTATATAAATCTGTTGAAATTGGGTAACAAGAAGTCTATTTGGGAAGATTCGAATAGAGAAGTAACTAGATCTTTGACAACCCTACTGTAAAGGCTAGCTTGGAGAAACGAATACCAAGGTCTAATATCCAGTCCTAGTAGCCAAACAGACAAAAACCTTTAGGTTGGAAGGCTTAGAGGTATCACTAACCAGTCACCGAAATAAACCAGAAGAAAAGAATATCGAATCGATCTGATATACTGATAGACTGGTTGTAGTCCTATATGGGCTATCTGGATTGAGAGTTTGGTAAAAGAACAGAAGAAAAGGCAGAGGTATACTAAAATATTGGGATTATGCTATGAAGTAGATGTTAGGGTCCAAGTGAACTCTACAAAGGCATAGCAGTTTAATGGTTAGCCCTGATCATAAGTGTTGGTTCTACTATAGCGATATCTAGATTAGCTGTAAAAATGGGTACAGAAGGCTCTGAGGAGTTTACCTCGAAGATAAATTAGTTCTAAGGTTGAGGACGATGATCTGATATATCTGAGATGACTAGTGATGTTAATACAGATTACAGGTTCAGAGAGTTTAAAGTAGAACACTCAAGCAGGAGTGTTAGGAATAGCAATTGGTAGGGAACCTTTAAGTGAACTCCTTAAATAGGTAATATAGAAAAGTTATATGTGTAGCCAATTATATGCTCTCCTGTAGTAGTTCATTGAACTACAATACTAATAAGTGATTAATAAAAGTCAAAAGATCAAAAAAGTTATCTTAAAAAAAAAAAAAAAAAAAAAAAAAATAGTAAAAGCATAGTTTAAATTATTAATGATAGATTCTACATGTTGCAAATTATTTACTGTTAGTTCTACATTAATGTGATCAACCAAGTGTTGTAATGTTGCTGCTTTAGACTCAAAAATCTAATGTTTATTAGTAAGGTTTTCATACTTTTCATCTATATTATAGTATTCTATAGTATTAACCTGATTATATGTTTTAATAGTTTCTATATTTTCAGTTATATTTTGTGTTTCACTTCTATTTCATATTAAAAAAGAATAATCAGATTGTCATTTGAACTTAAAATATATTAATCTAATACTTTCAGAATTATTTCTAATTTCTAATACTCATGATCTTTTGGACACTCTCCCTGCTGATTATCTAAACACAAAATCGACCAAAAGGAAAACTGATTTTACACAAAAGTAGCCTTCTAAACTACTTTGACAGAACTAAGTAAAAAGAAAAAGCATCTAAGAAAGGTATATAAAAAGAGAAGAAATAGACAAACACAAGGGATACAGTATAGAAAAGTAAAGAAACCTAAAATTTCTTGAAGAAAATACTTGAAAATTTGGAAATTGTAACATTTTGGAGAATTGGCACTAATCTGGTATCGCAGATCTGTTTTGGTCATAAGAATATAAACAAACAAGTAATTCAACCATGTGTAGGATAAGCAAAACAAACACATGCTAAATATAGATAGAAATAAAGATTTAACCAAAAGACGTAATAGCAGTCTAATAACAACATATATCAATAGAGCATACTGGGCTATTAATAGTGTGCAAAATAGTGTGTTTATTAAACAAGCAGGTGAAATATATATATTGCCTAGCAGAGAAGATAAAATTGTTGCTATGTTAACAAATCAGAATTCAGAAGAAGTTGCTCTATTAAAATTAACAAGAGAATTAATAGATAAAACAAAAAAAGAGCAACCAGAAAGAAAATTAAATATAATAGAGCAAAGCAACTATGCAATGATACTAGAACCCATTCCATAACAAGATTAAGACAGACTTAAGAAGAAATATAACCAAACTGCAAGAATGAAAAAGCTACAAAAGATAGAACAGGACCAAACACCAAAGAAGGAACCAAAAGAAAAGAAGAATCATGAAGCTAGGGTCCAAGAAACCAACAAGATATTGCAGAAAGAAAAGGCAGCAAAGGTAAGTATTAATAACAACAGCAAGATGGAAATAGAACAAATTCAATGAAAACAAGAGAATCTGCCTAGCCAAAAAAGAACCACAG